TGTCAAAAAATTTATCAACTATATGAACTTTCTAAAACTGATTTTCCTCCGTATTTTTTGCTTGAAACTATTTCATATTCTCTTTATTTTAAAAACCGTAACCAACTCCTGTCCATTCTGAATAAAATATAAAACTACATCGTTCAGTTTGCTAATCTAAAACTTGCTAGTGGAAGTTCTAAGATTTTTTTTCCACATTTGTGAATTAATCAACCAAAAATAATTGATTCTCTAAGATAGTACACTTTCTTTTCATGAAAAATAGCAAGAAAATGCACTTTTCAGTTAGGAATACTGCACTAGATATTTTGTATTTTCACATCTGTGTTTGGGTAAGTTTCACTATTTTCACACTTCTATATCTACTCATGTCTACTAGGTTATTTATCTTTTATTCTATTTTTTCCTCTGCCTTTACTTGTATACACATTCCTTTGTAAATTTTACTGTCAATTTCTAGTTTACATGTTGAAATTACTCTGCAAATGAATTTTAAGTGGTTATTGTTTTTTGTTTTTCTCATCACATATTTTCCTTTTTCTAAGCAAGAGAAATAGTATAATATTTTGGAGACCTCTATTCATTTCAAGGAGTTATTGAGGAATGGCTAAAAGATAGCTGTTTTTAATTTGTTTGCTTGTTTTTGTAAGATTTATTTATTTAATGTTGTTTATTATTATTATTATTATTTTTAATTTGACCAGAAAGAGACAGAGAGAGAGAAAGGGAAAAATCAGAAAGCCTGCTACCAGGTCTGAGATCCAAACCGCAGTTGGCCAGTTGGCAAGGTGGGAATTCAGTGCCTTAACCACCATGCCACCTGCCAGTCCCAATACAGTTTTACAAAGTAACAGCACCAGTAACAAAGTACCCCCCCCCAAAAAAAAAGTTTCTATGAAATACAGCAGGATCTTCATAATAGGACAATTCAAGGAGATCCTAGAATAAATTGCATGAATGTGAAAAGCTTTTATCTGTCTCCATCAACTTAAATGCAGGATAAAATAAAAGTCCCAGAAGACATCTATGATGACTTAAAATTTAGAAGTTAATTTTTAGTTCTACTAACAAATGCAATTTGCTTTGTCTACTTACTATTTCAAGAATTGTTTCTTCTGATGAGAAAGGAATGTTAATAAGGAGAATTTCAGAGTTGCAAGTGTAAGAATACTTTCTTTTCCCATCTGGAAAATTAATTGTGATTTAGAAAATGAATAAATTATCGGGTGAGAGTTTGTCCTTTTAAAGATGTTGTAAAACTGACTAAAATGTAGACATTATTATGAATAAATTCCCTGTTGAAGCCACTGAGATATCAATTTAGTAATCAGAAGGTCTTACATGCTCTATTAATTATCATCTTTTTCTCTTTTTTGGGCTCTGAGTACAACTAAAGGACTGAAAGAGTGGATCAAGCACAGTCTTGTGGCTAATTGAGTGAATGTCTGAATCATTTAGTGGTTATATTTTTTTCCTGATGTTTCTGTCTGAAATGACTCCAGAAAGGGTAGCTTGCAAAGATTTATGAACACTTTCTAACATGTGAAAGTCAAATGGAATTTAAAAAAAAAAAATCTTTGGTAAAAATGTATAATCCAATCCTATTCTTCCTATTCTAAATGAAAGTTTTCTCTCTTACAACATAATGGTAGTCCTACACGTGTAAAACTTCAGAGGAAAAAAAAATGTATATGTCAAATTAGAAGACTGTCATTTAAATTATGCTACTCAAGAAAAACAAATAGTTTTTCTTTACAAATGTGTGTATGAAAGATTGTGCATATCAGATTAAGGAACTTTGACCTTCCTCTGTTTCCACTAATGGATTTATTTTTGACTGCTAAAAAAGTTAGTTAAAATTTTTATTATTTGCTATGTGGTATACTACATGTTGAAACACAAAGTACAGTGACATTCGGTCAGTGTTCTCAAGGTCCCTATATTTAAAGAACCAACTGTTAATAAAAGATAATGTGTCTTCCTGAAGTGCTAGATAAACACAAATGAAACCCTCATTGAGAAATTATCATCTTCTTTTATTAAAAATATTTTAAAAACTTCCCTTGAAACGACTGATGTACAAATATTTGTTCCTCTAGGGAATAGCATGTAAGTTTCAGGTTACCTTTGGTAGAGGAAACAATATAAAAATTGCTGAATGAATAAGTACTATGAAGATAAAGCAATAGACCTTGTAAAACTATGGTGTTAGAATATAATTTAAGGATAAAAAATCCATTATCAGGACCAGCAGTTGGCATAACGGCTTTGTCACTGGACTCCCACGTAGTCAACCGTGGTTCTAGTCCGAGACCTGGTGGCTTAAACTCACGCTGGGCGCGTGTTCATAGGTGCCCAAGATCCCGAGAGGAGAATGGAGGAGAAGGGATTGCGGCCTGGCGATCCCCCCTGGGGAGGTGATTTCTCACTTTTTGACTCTGTCTCTGACTTTCTGGTGAGTGCACGTGCCCTATAACAAAAGACCTCTCCAAAAAAAAAATTAATATCAAAATTAAAATAAAATATAATATGTACAAGTATACAAGTACATATCACCTTTTAATTCTTTTTTAAATATTTCCTAATATCTTTGAATATAGAACAATACTGTAAAATATTTGAAATGGCATATCCACAGCTTAAGGTTTTGTTATTTATAGCATAACAGAAATGATAATTGGTATCATTTTCAAAGGGTTAAATCTTACAATTTGCTTATTTGGTAAACAATATACTTGTAAGAAATTAAGAGCAAAAATTCTGAATCAATATAGAATACTTGGTCCTATTAAGCAGGGAATGGAAATAGTAAAGTGAATCCGTTCATTGTTAGATATGTAGAATACAATATTAAATGGAATGTGTCAGTAAGAACCACCTGAAGGATTGTTATATCCCAGTGTCCTTTATACTTATTTTCTTCATTCAAAATTCCAGAAGAGCTGTAATAGTCTCATGTAACAAATATACATAATGTACACATATAATGATTTATTTCATCAATATTTTATGCCTCCTTAGAGAAAGCCAACGTATTTTCTGGAGTGACTATGAAAATACTTTTGAACTAGACTTTGAAAGACAGTTGGCTTTTTAAAGGCCAATGAAAAAGATCAGAGATGAGAGGATTTTCATGAAATTTGCAATTTTGATAGGCACAAAATCAGAAAGTCAAACATATTTTGATTGCAGAGGTGTTTGGATGAAATTATTGTCCTCAGATGTTTTCTAATTTAGATAAAATCATTTTATTCACTTCTCTAAGTTCGAAGGGGTTATTTTCAGTAGATTAGCACCACATATTTGGTTAAATCATAACATACTTAAAGAACGCAAACAATATATTTCACGTTTATTCTAATAGGCCTTTAGTATTTTATTTTATTTTACTTTATTCATTAATTAATTTGGTTTTTAGGTTTTTGCCATAGGGCATGTGCCCTCACCAGAGACAGTGAGAGGGAAAGTGAGAAATCCCCTCCTTGGGGGATGGTGTCCCTACGATCTCTTCTCCTCCATTGTCCTCCAGGGATTCCAGACACCCACACACAGGCATCTGGCATGATTTCCAAGCCATCAGCTTTGAGACTCGAACCGCAGCTGGCAATACTGGAGTCTGGTGCCTTAACCACCATTGCCACCTACTGACTCCAACCTCTAGTAGTTTTTACTAAAGACTTTAATAACATATTAATAACATACTCTGGGACCTCGCAGATATGATTTTTTGTCTCATAATGTCCCTGATGTAAACTTCTCTCCATTGTCCATATAAATCGATTTCACATGTTCAGGCATCCCTGCTGTGAATTCTTTAACTTCCTTGTGTATTAAGTCATGTTTTTAGCCTATGACCCATGACATTTTTTTTTGGAGAGGATTTTGCTATAAGGCATGTGCGCTCACCAGACAGACAGAGACAGAGAGACAGAAATTGAGAAAACCCCCCCCAGGGGGGTGGCCACACGGCAATCCCTTCTCCTCCATTCTCCTTTCAGGATCTTGGGCATGCACGCACACGCACCCGGCATGAGTTTTAAGCCACCGGTTCCGGGACGCGAACCACGGTCGACTACATGGGAGTCCAGCAACATGGCCATTACGCTAACTGCTGGTCCCCCTCATGAACTTTGAAAACAGGAATTGAATATATCATCCAAAAAGTTTTTAAATGTATTGGGAATAAGAATTTTAATTCACTTAATAATACTATTACTAGTGAGTCACTAGAAGTCATGATGCACTTTTGCATAGAAAAAAAAAAGAAAAATACACCTTGACTTTTTCAATGACCCAAATGTTACCTACAAATACAGTTTTGTTTTTTTTTTTTTGAAGGTTTTTTTTTTTTTTTGCTATAGGGCATGTGCACTCGTCAGAAAGACAACAGAGAGACAGAAAGCAAGAAATCACCCCTCGGGGGGGATGGCCACGTCTCAATCCCATCTCCTCCATTCTCCTCTAGGGATCTTGGGCACGCACATACACGCTCCTGGCGTGAGTTTAAGCTACCGGGTCCAGGACTCGAACCGCGGTCGACTACATGTGAGTTCAGTGACACAGCCATTACACTAACTGCTGGTCCCACAAATACAATTTTTAAGTTACAGTGATAGTGACTGCAATATTTCAAGACTATAAAAAGTTAACAATGAAAAAGCTAAATAAAAGAAAAATAATTATTTTGTAGTAGTTTATACTTTGAATATTAAAATGTTTATTTTATGTTATTTTATTTTATTTTATTTTATTTTATTTTATTCAACTCTATTTATCTACTTAATTTGACCAGAGAGGGACAGAGTGTGAGAGAGAGAAAGAGAGAGGAAAAATGAGAAAGCAAGCCGCCAGGTCCAGGACTCGAACCACAGTCAGTCATGTGGGAGTCCAGTGCCCCTAACCACCATGCCTCCTGCCGACCCCTAAAATATGTCTTCTTAAACTAATGTGTATAAAACAAATGAATACTTATTGTAATTCTGTTTTCTTTTCATTTTCAGGTGACACAAACATCCACTATCCATGATGTTAAAGAAAAATTTCACAAAGCATGTAAGTTTTAAACAGATTTCAGAATTTATATTACAGTATTCTTTTTCAAATGAATAAAATTCACCTGTAAAATAAGTTCAGTATTATGATAGGAAGTGTGTATGGGAACCCTATTTTTATATGGAACACATAAATGATTATATTCTTAATGCTTTTTGACCATAAAGATTCTCACATCTTCTCAACTGTTTCTTTTGTTTCCAAACATTTTTCTTTTATTTTTTTTACAAAGTTGTTTTAATTTTTAGTTCAAATTTATTGTATTCTTACAGGAAACTGTCTATCAAAGACATTAATAGACACAAAAAATTTCTTTCGATTTAAGCAAAATATTAAGCAATTTTTACTCTGTTTTTATAGTTATCAAATTTCCTTCACTTAGAAATTCCTTGTATAATTCTAAATAATATTGTTTAATTTTATTAATATCTAAGTTTACTTCACAAACAGATCTCTTATGATTTAATTAGAAATATTTATATTTGCCATCTTTAAGTTATATTTTTACTTTTACGCTTTTTAAATGATATTTACTCTAACCCTTAAACATCGTATTGGGTTGTGGGAAAAGTCATGATACATTTTTGCATAGAAAAAAAAAGTCATGCCTTTTTCACAACCTAATAAATGTCTATAATTACTAAGGAGTGTTTTTAGATTTTCTTTCTTTCTTTCTTTTGAGCAATTTTTGAATCATAGGAAAAAACTAAGCAGAAGGGACAGAGATACCTTCTGTATCTGGTGCCTCCACACGGTCATAGCATCCTCAGAGTGCTACACTCATTGCAACTGATAGGTCTACGCAATATCCAGTTCCATAGTTCGCATTAGGGTTCATTCTTGGTGTAGGAAGCTGAGTTTTACATGAGGGCATTCTCAGTACCTATGGACTCGGTACATTTGGAACAGTGTTTCTTTCTGAAATTAATCTAGAGACGTACAATTTAACGCACTGAACTATTTAATAAGACTTGAGTAAAATAAGAGTTATTTCATAGATCTTTCTAAGGAAATATATAGAATATGTAATAAATACTTTCTGTTCATATGACATTATGCCAACCATAATGACTAATTTGATGAGGTAGAATATGTGCCATTAGCTACTGGAAAATAGTCTGGTATAAATGTGTATATCTAAAGAATGTAGAAACAAATTCCAAATAGTCAAGGTACCTAAAATTTATAAACAATTTGAGGAAAATCTATTTAGAATTTGTCATAGGAATAAATACAAGAAGAAATAGAATTACTTAAATATGGCTCAGCAGTGTAAAACTTTAACTATGCTAAAAAAATAAATAAATTGAGAAAGCCAAAACAGTTGTGTAAAACAGGACAAGGCAGGAAGAATCAAGGTATCTTTTATAGATTAATTTTTCTAGTTTTGCTCATGATAGGTAAATTTTCTGTACTTTTAGGGTAGCATTTTCTAAAACATTTAGTTTCTAAAATAATGACCTTTTCAAACTCAAAATTTCCCTCTGATCACAAAACCTATGGAAGCATTTTATCCTAGTTATTTCTAGTTTATTTCCATTAGAAATGTATTTCTTCCAAGAGTTGTCCTTATTTTAGCATAAAGCATAAACTTTTTAAACAAGTAATTAAAATGTCAACTTAGAAATTTATTAGACTGATCCTAACAATGTGACTTCAGCAAGCTTAGATTATAGTAAAAAGTGAGAAGATACTTGAAATAACTCTTTTTTGTACTATAAGTAGAAAGATTCAGCAAAATGATTTTATTTAAAATAATAATGACAGGGGCCCGAAGGTGGCATAGTGGTTAAGGTACTGGACTCCCACATGGCTGACTGCAGTTCGAGTCCTGGACCTAGAAGCCTGCTTTCTCACTTTCTCTCTCTCTTTCTGTTTCAGTCTCTCTCTAGTGAGCACACATGTTCTATAGCAAATTTAAAATAATAATAATAATAATAATAAATTAAATAAATAATTATTTAAAAAATAAAATAAAATATAATGAAAATGTAATCAATATATTATTTCTATTTTCTGCAAATGCTGAAATAAAGGATTATTTATAAGTAAAAAGAATGTGTAGTCATCTTATAAAAAATATGATCACATTTACAATAGTTTATGTCTACTCATAGGCACCTATCTATTGACAAAGAATCCTAAAATTTCACAACCAGAAGTTCTGTATTTAAGAATTCCATAGTGATGCCAGTAGGTGTGTGGAGGATAAGGTATTGATTCTCACATGACTAGCTTCCCAGTCCAAGTCCTGGATCTGGCAGCTTGAGAATCATGCCAGGCGCATGGGCAAGTGTGCACCAAACCTGAGAGGCAAGTGGAGGAGAAAGGATTGTAGTGTGGTTGTTCACCCTGCAGGGGTGTTTTCTCTTTCTCTGTCTTGCCAATGTCAATGACAAATTTGCCAATTTGTAAAAGACATTAAAACGTACTTCTAATACTAGGAATCTGTGATGATATGAAAAATGGTTTAAAAAGTCATGTATTGGTTATCCTAGATCTTATTTTGTTTGCATATTTAATACCAGATTACATGGAATTTTTATTTAAATGCACAACTTTATGCAAAGGAGAATAATCACATACACTCAAATCCATAATTGTCAAGTTTTTACAAACTTACCTTTTTACTTTTTGATGTCAATTTTTTAAATTATATATTTCTGATATTGCTTTTTTTCAGGCACTTAAGTTATAATTGACACTGTTAATCTTGGAAAGCAAACAAACAAAAGATGCTTCTCAGCAAGGTGTTCCCTGAACACAGAATTCTTTTATGTTCATCCTTTGTTCCCTTAGGTGTTCTGACTAATCTTAACCTTTTGTCTCCCTACCATTTTCCTAACTCGTATCATCCTTACAATTTATTTTTAGTTCTATTTTAGAGCTTTTTTTACTGTTTTTTTTTCTTTTCCAGAACAATGCCTATTTTAATTCTCTTCCAAGGTTTATAATTTTTTAGTTCTGCTTTGTCAGAAGTTATAGTTTAGATGACCCACATGACACTATGGCATTCAGACTGGTGAAGAAATAGGAAGGAGGAGGGAGACACAATTAATGTGTTATTTGCTCAGGGAAGAGGGAGAGAGCAACATATTATATATACTTATGACTGTACAGTAAAGGACCAGACGACGACACAGCGGTAATGCAATTGAACCCACATGGGATGGGACCAGGGTCATATCCAGGGGCCTTCATCTGCATACTGGACACACATGTGCCCTTGATCTGAGCTGGAGGAGGCTGGAGATAGATCATATGAAGACCTGTTAAGGGTGTTTGTCTCTCTCTTTCCATCTCTCTCTCTCTTGAAAGCTTAAGCTAAATTATTTTTAAATAAAAAAGTATAAATGCTTATGTGTGTATATAGGCACAAACATAATTGCACCTATTTTTATGTTCTCCTCATTTAAACCATCAAAAACGCATCAAGTGCCGTCAGTTCCAAATCTCCCACTAGTCTTTCTTTATTTCTGTCTGCATATTCCTTAACACGTTTAATTATTGCCCTTACTTGCATCTTCAAGGGTCTCCTGGTGAGTTTTGGCATTCTTCACACTTAATCTTTTCCAAAGGTTGCTCAGAAGCATTGATCATTATTGTGACAACCATGTGAAAACATAAAGAATTCTATGCTTTAAGTAAAACTATGCCAGTAATTCCTAAAATTTGAAGTGCTTTTCTTACACACTTCATGTGTGCATTTTATTGCATGTTAAAGCTATCACATTACCCTATTTCATGTTATTCAATTCAGCTAATTCAGCTACCATTGCCTTTTCTTCTTCTTCTTTTTTTTTTTCTTCTTCTTTTTTTTTTTTTTTTTTTTTTTTTTTAATTTGCCATAGGGCATGTGTCCTTGCCTGAGACAGAAAGAGACAGAGAGAAACAGTGAAAGGAAAAGCAATAAACCATCCCCTGGGAGGGATGGCCACACTGCAGTCCCATCTCCACCATTCTTCTCTCAGGATTTTGAGCACACACACGTACCTGGCATGATTTTTAAGCCACTGTAACTGGAACTTGAACTATAGCCAGCCATATGGTAATCCACTACCTTAAACATCATGCCACTGACTGGCCCCACATATTACTTTAAGAAATTTTTTTAAATGTAATTAATTTTTCTCCTGGAGTTCAATATGACTTCATAAGAATGTTTTTATTTGTTTAAACTGTATATATATATATATATATGTATATGTGTATGTGTGTGAGTATCTATCTATCTATCTATCTCTCTATATATATATACACATATATTCATATATATATATATATAGAGAGAGAGAGAGATACATATATAGATATAAATTTGACTAAAGAGGGAGATGTGTGTGTGTGTGTGTGTATATATATATCTATATATATATATTCTATATCTATCTATCTATCTATCTATAGATAGATAGATAGATAGATAGATATTTGACCAGAAAGGGACAGAGTGAGAGTGAGAGAGAGAGAGAGAGGAGGGAAAGAAAGAAAGCAACCCATGGGTTTGGTACTCAAACTCTAGTTGGTTATGTGGGAGTCCAGCACCCTTAACCAGCACTCCACCTGCTGGCCCCATAAGAATATGTTTCAAAACAACATTTCAACAAATATAAAGACATAACTGGATTTTCCTTAACAGTTCATGAATTGGGGCAGCATCTCCACCAAAAAATAGGTAAGTGCTCCAATGAGCACGGCAGAAATGTGTGTTTTAAAAGAGAAAATAAGCAGGAATAAGGGAACTAGAAGGATACTTGTCATCATCAGGATACTTCAGGTTACTTTTATTTATTTTTTTGCCATACAGTGTGTGTGCTCATTGAGAGAGAGAGAGAGAGAGAGACAGACAGACAGACAAACAGTGATAGCAGTGGGGAAAGTGAGACATCAGCCCTGTGGGTGATGGCCACACTGTAATCCCTTCTCCTCCTGGGAACTTGGGCACACACGCACACCCAACCGGCATAACCACTGGGTCTAGGACTCCAACTGTAGTCGGC